TGAACCAACCTCAGCCAGCTTGCATGACTTTTCAGTATGATGCATGTTTTGAAGGAGTTTTGCAGCCATTTCAGCAAGCACCCTAACCTGGCATCCTCACATCCTGAGTTTGAATAGTCCTTCCCCTTCCCAGTCTGTTTCCTGTCCCCCCCACTCACTGCGCACACAATGTATTTTAAAGAATTTGACATTTAAACAGTAAAGCAGAAGACTGTCTTGGCTTAGCAACTTGCTGGGATGAACTGGTAGCATCACATAGACTATTTCTGAAATATAGCCCTTTTCATTTTGGGAGGAGGGGAAAATCCATTGTCATTCTGCAGTTTAGGTAAAATACACTGATAACTCCTGACTGGCTGCCTCCCCAGGGGGTGGGCTACAGGAAAAACATTTCAGCACTGCTAAGCTTGGCAAACATGGGCAGATTTATTTCAATTATTTATAGGACATTGGTGCAGGAGTTCACATCACAGAGGTTCCTGTGGTACTTGAGGACACATTGTGAGGAGGCTCCTGCTGCCGGATTCCCAGAGGCATTGGCAGGAGGCACTATCTTAGGGAAGTCCACAGTCCTGATGTTCAAGATGTTGTCACTTGTACAGTATTTCAGAATAAATGTTGAATAAGTAGCCTGGTCTGGAATCGGAGCTCCACAACTTTAAATACTAAACTATCTCTTGCTACTGCCTTGCTATTCTTTGGTTTAGGGGAACTTGCAGGTGCAGCTCCATGGATGCACCAAGCCATGTGATGTGTTACTATGGCTAAATGCAGAAATTCAGGGATGTTAGATCAGGTTCAAAATGGCCACCCAGTCTCACTTGGTTGGCCTTGGGTGCAGACCTTACACTTACACCTGGTCTCAGTGATCGGAAATCAGCCTAAACCCTTACAGTACAGCAGTTCTGTGCGCACAGACTGGTCTCGAAATAGGGGAACCCGGTCTGTGATAGACCTGGATCGGTGTAGTTTCAGACGTACTTGATCGAGGTGAGACCGGGCATAGAACCGGCACAGCTGCCTGTGCAGCCCTGGGGCTGGGAAAGCCCAGCCGCTGACCCCAGCCCCGGGCTGCACTTCTCAGCCCCACCCAGCACGCGGCTATTCTTAACCCTCAGCACCCCCGTCCTCCCCACAGCCAACCAACCCCCCCGTCCCGCAAGCTGCTTTGGGTGCTGCCTGATTTTTCAGTATGCTGGGAGCCAAGCAAGTAAATATTGGTGGGGGTGACATGGAGATGTAGGTTCTCCGAGGGGCTAAAAATAACCCCTGATCCCACCAGACCCCCCTGCGAACCCCAGCAACCTCCCCTGGATCCTGCCTGCCCCCCCATGATCACTTCTGCAGATCCTGCTTGACCCCCATTCCCTGCACAAACCCTCAATTCTCCCCCACACCCAGCCTGCTTCCCCAGCCTGCTTGCCTCCCCTCATCCCCCCCCCGCTATCTCCCCCCCCATTCCCGTTACTTTAGATCAGATGGCCATTTTGAATGCAGTCTTAAGTCCCCCTAATCTCCCTGAATGTCTGCACTTAGTCTCTGATAGAGTGAATATGCAAAGGGAGGAGTAGGCCATGCAGAAGATTCACCTAAGAATGTCTGCTCTTTGATTTTTATTTTTTTTAATTCCCCCCACCATGGGTCTTGCTTATTTGTCTCGCTCTGCTCTCTAATCTGAATTCCCCAGCATCTAAGTTACCCGACATGATTAAAGGTGATCAGATACCTCATCAGCCAGCTAATCTCTATATGCATATCTCAGTGTAAACAGGAATCTCTTGTTAAACGTGCCTGACCTTTTGCATTGCCATTCAGCACGTTGCCCTCACTTCTCTCCATCAATATCTTGGAAGCAGGCAGCATGGCTGTCTGGGGTTGCCGATGTACGGTCAATATTTTAACAGAGAGCTACCAGTGGAAGTTTCCTTTGGTCTGTGATGCAGCTTGCATATCAGGAGAGTGGTTTTTATGTAAATTGGGAAAGAATTAAATAGGGTCCCACTTATACAAGACCCATTTCTTATAACTGCCAGCAAGGAGAGAGAGAGTGGCTGTAGGCAAACACATTTTTACATGCACACCATTCTGGGGGAGAGATTTATGACAAGCACAGAATATGCCAGTGTTCAGCTCTGTTTGTTTAACATAGGTGAAGTGTCAGAGGCCTTGAAGAGCAGATTTGTTTCCAGGAGATTTTGTTTAAAACATTGGCACGTTGGTACAGTCTAATTTATCTGCAGGCCAGGCCTCTCTTGATCTGTTCTGCTATCTGGTACCACGTAAACCAGTACAGCCTATTCCATGGTCAGGTTGTCGGCGACTAAACCGGCACCCCAACCTGGGCTAGCCTGGGTGAGGAGGGTGCGTGGACACCCAGCAGGACTAAAAACAAGACCTGTCAAAGGGCGCATGTGCTCCCTGTGAGCCAATGGCCATCTATAACTGGAAAGGAGATGGGCGCTGTCAGGTCAATTTGTCTGAAGAATCACCAATGATGCACAGATCTAAGGTGCCCCAACAGTTGCAGCAGCCTCGGGACTGATTTGACTTGACAGACTAATTCAATCCAAAGCTAAAAAAAAACCAAGTCAGAATATTGCTGTGAGCCCCAGTTTTCTTAAGCAAAGAAAGGGGTGATGCTATCACTTTAGGGAATTGCCCCACCTCCTTCCACTTAAAGAACAGGAGCACTTGTCATTAGAAGAGCTTTGCAGTCATTTGAACCTCACTGTTCGTCGTGTAAGATCCCGATTCAGCTTCAGTATAACTCGCTGCTTCTTCTCAATGCAGCCATGCTGACACTGAATGGTGTCTCCAAGAAATAATTTCTGCTTGAGAGCTCAGTCTTCACTTGTTGTTGGCAAAAGGCAGGGATGATAGTGTATGCCTGGTGCCTTCCTTAAGGAATGTATATGTGTATGTACAGCAATACATTTTTTCCACTCTTACAGCAATGTGATTTTATTAGAGCTCTCAGTTTACATGAGTGTAGGCTCTGTACATACAAGTGAGCAGTAGGAAATACAACTGGGAAATAGACATTTTTAGAGAGAGAGAGAGGGTGTTTTCCATCACCTAAGTCAGCAGTAGTGAAAAGTTGTGAACTTTGGATATCCCTGTTCGAAGATGCTACCACCTGTGTCTAGTAGAAGCTCTAACTGGGTTGTTTCTCCCATTTTTTTAACAGGAACGTGATGGAATGAGAGCAATTTTGGAGTCCTATGACAGCGAGCTGACCCCATCAGAACATTCGCCGCAGCTGAGCCGACGAATGCGCGAGGCCGAAGAAATGGTGCAGAAGGTGCACGCGCACAACACTGAGATGGAGGTAGGAAAGAGGTGCTGTGCTCCAACCCCGGCACGTGCTTACTTCAATGACAAACACATTTGTTAATGTAGATTGAAGTTTGTCCTGTGGTATCTTGTGCTCCCCCCTTTTCTTTCCCTCCCCCCTGCAGTATGTTAAGATCAGCACAACTTAAAACTCCAACCATTAATAGTTACAGTTATTTTTCTTTATTGGTCACTTGATCTTTATTTTGAAAGCTGGCCATAGCCAATGGCAATTATTTGAGATCATTTCAGCTGTATTTTTATTTTACGTATGGCTCTGTTGAATGATTGGAGGGATTAGTTGGAATATCGTAACAGGATTGTGATTATCATGCAGGCAGTCTAAAAGGGCCAGATACTAGAGGCAGAGCTTTGTGCACTCCTCTTCCTCAGGTGGTCCAAAAGTAGGTTCAGAGAGGCATGAGCTTTGGCAGGCCACAGCCTTCTTTGTCAGATGCTAAGCAAAGTAGGTTTTTGCTTACCAAAGGTCATGCGTGTCTGAACCAGGTAGTCTCTAAGGTGCCACTCTGCCTGACTTCAGACTAACAGAGCTGACCACCTCTGTGATCCCAGGTGGTGTGATCAAAGCAAAGAGGTCCTTCCAGAAAGTCTCAGTTTGATTTTGTGGTGTATAGGTTGTGTCAGTAGTGGGGTGCAGGAGTCATCTTGCGGTGGGCAATGGCAGCAGCTAATTGTTAATTCTGTGGAGTGAGCTAAATTTTAGGGGTGTGCGAAGTGGGCCCTATTCGATTCGGATTTGGCCCAAATCAGGGACAGTGATTCTATTCGTTGATTCGGCTCACACTCCATGCGCCCCTGCATCTCAGCGCTCGCGAGCCCCTGCAACTTAGAGGTATGCAGACAAAACATTTACACTTGTCTCTACGTCTAAATCTCTGAATCTTTCCGAATCGATTCAAAGAGATTAAAGGGTCCTCTGATTCAGTTTGAATTTGGAGATTCAGCCACTGAATTGGGCTGAATCTCCACCAAATCAAATCAGGGACCAAAACTTCACAGAGCCCTACTAAATGTTTCTGTAGGACAGCTTTTTTTTCAGTATGCTTTTAACAGAAGAATGTAAGTAAGTATGTGTTTCAGGACATTGCTCAAAGAGCACAGAGGTGAAGGTATGTGGCTGTTTGTCTTACCTCTTATTTCCTAGGGGTTCAGAAGTTTGAGCTTTGCCAAACTCAACATTTTGCCAGAGGTTTGATGCCAGCGGGCAACTTTAACTCTGTAGTAACCAAGTTGTCACTGAATTTCCTTCCATTTTTCTTTTAAATGAAAGAAGATTTGTAGCAGTCTGATTATTTAGGCAGTTATAATTTTGATGTAGATTTGGAGTTGCAAAACCTGCCATGGCTAGGCAAAGGATGCTGTTTGATCCGTAATTACTTTTCCTTCTTTATGTTTTGTCATATTTTCCTGCCTATGCAGGGGGTCGGACTCGATGATCTATTGAGGTCCCTTCCGACCCTAACATCTATGAATCTATGAAAGAGGGCTAGGGCTGTCCATGGAAACATTGGGTGTATATAGTTGCTAAGAGACTAGTGACATCACAGACTGGTTCAGCACAAGAGTGGCAGAAAAACCAAAGCCCATCTTAGCTGTGTCCGTACAACAGCTTATAATGGAGCAAGCACAGGTGCAGCCACATCTGTTAGGACTCTCAAATGCAAAAAATCTTGTTGTCCAGGCTGTAAGATATTGTTTTCTTTCTTAGGAGTAACAAGCCAATTATCTGTCTCTCTGAGTAAGACTCCTGTCTAGAGAGCTGCTCCTACCAGTTTTAAACAAAAGGTTAAAGCTGCCAGGATCCTTTGGAAAATCTGTGAAGAATGTGGATCTGTTACAAGTACTGTATGCCTCAGCTTGCTTGCTGTAGCTTAGCCTACACCACCAGCTTTTGCCCTGCCTCTGCTGATTGAAGAAAGGCATCTTGTCCTACCAGCTAAAGCTGCATGTAGATGCTCCTGTGTCTAGACAGTTGCCACGGTCCATTTGGCAGCTGGCTCCTTTTCCAAACACCTGTCACATACTCTAGTGGCTCAGGTTGTTGAGTGGAGCTGTGCAGAACCAGCAGAGGCACGTTTTGGCAGCTTAGGAGCAGCAGGACACAGCTTCTGGTGGTAGAGCGAGGTCAGGATGGGCTAGCTGATTTGGTGGAGTTCAGTCAAAAGAACTTGTTAAGACAAACGAGCAGGAAATAAAGTGCCGTATTTTCTCACATACAGGGCATCCTAGAATAAGATGTGCACCCCTTTTTTTGAAAGGCAGAATGAAAACAAAAAAAGATCTTTCCCTGTAGTAAGTAACTGAGCAGCAGCAGCAGCGAGGGAGCTGAGCCAGCTCATTGTTCTGCTCCCTGTGGATCATGCGCAAAGTTATTTTTGCATTTGCCTGGCAGAAGCTTAAGCGGCAGAAACTGCTGTTACCATATTGCCTCAATTATAAGGTGCACTCCCATTTCCAGCAGCTGGTTTTGGACCCCCCCCCATATGTTGTATATGAGAAAATATGATAATGCCCAGAGAGAGGTAAGGCACTTCAGGTAAGACAAGAGTGTTGAGAGCAGTGGTATGTCATTTATTGGGAAAATGCATCCAGGCATCAGCTAAAATTACCCAGTTTGATCGGCAGAGCTGAGGGCCGAAGCTCAAAAAGACACAAAGCAGCTGAAATACTCTCTTGCCCTTGACTGGGAAGGTTTTCTGTTGTCAAGGGATTGCTTGTAGCAATTGGATGAAGTGAGTCAAGCTCTGTGGGATGGATGTGAGGCAGTTAGGATTGCCAGACTTTGAGGAAAATCGTAAGCTTTAAGTATCTCCCAGATACTTTGTTGTTTTAGCCCTTCTCTGTGATCGTTGTTTGCCTTTCAGAGGAAAAAGGCACTTTATTTTGGAAAGAGCAGCTTTGGTTCGCTTTAACGAGCGGCTGGTCATGGGCTCTTGGAAAGGATTTTCTTGTAGGTGCCAGATTCAGTTGGGCCTGTTGAGTTAACACTGTTGGAAGAGAGAGGCTGCAACGGGGTCCAGTCTGAGCTCCTGGTGAGATATGAAGCCTGTCCCTTGAAGTGTTTGCTCCTAGGGGACCTCCCCTTGCCCTGCCATGACAGAGACTGCATCTAAGCAGGAATTTTGCTTTTGCTTTTTCAGTGTGCCTGATTGTAGTTCTGGCTTCTCTCTCTTGGATCTCTGCTTTGTAACTTGGTGAACTTTTGAAAATCTTCAAGGCTTTTCCAAGCGTTTGCAGCCCTCAGATTCTGAAAGGCTTTAAACCTTTTATAGGGTAAGGGTCAGGAAAAAATGGTGCCTTCCTTCCTTTCTTCTGTTTACATTGAACTAGTGAACTGTGCTACATGAGGAGTAGTTAAGTGATTAAGGCGAGTAAGGAAAACTCCCAAAGGGAACTCTGTTCTCTTGAGATTTTAGCTGGGTGTGATATCACCATTCAAGGACTTGCCAGAATCAACCATCCAGGACCTGATAGTTCTTTTTGGCTGGAAAAAAGTGTGGCTTTACTTTCTATTTGATGACATTTGTCTCTCTGTCCATAATGTGGTAGCATCCAGTCCATTCCAAAATTTTAGGGAATGTTCCAGGTGTCTATGAGCAGCAGGTAATTAATCATGTTTGATGAAAATACAGAAACTGGGAATGGAGGAAACCAAACTTACTTGCATCAGATTAGCAGAGCCAGCAGCTGCATCCATCTCTGTAGATCAAAGAACTGGCTGACGGCAGCTATTCATTCCAGCATGACATCACCTCCCACCCATGCTCGGGTGATTGTCTTGGTACAGTTTAATAATGATGGCGCTCTTAAGTCATATCTCCATGACAGAAATAAAAGAAATGAGAACCAGAGGGCATGAGCTAATAGTATACTGGGAAGCATTAGTCAATGCGTCGCGAGCAGGGCTAAGGAAGTGATGCTTCCTCTCTACTCAACATCAGTGAGACGCCAGCTGGAGTACTGTGTCCAGTTCTGGGAACCGCACATCAACAAAGACACGGAGAATCTTGAAAGGGTCCAGAGAAGGGCCACAAGGATGATAAAGGGCCTGGAGGACAAACCTTATGAGGAAAGACTAAGGGATCTGGGACCGTTCAGCCCAGGAAAGAGAAAACTGAGGGGGGACTTGGCCATCTATAAGTATGTAAGGGGTGAATATTGAGAGCTGAGAGAGAAACTGTTCACTAGGGCACCACAGGGGAGGACAAGAAGCAAAGGCCAGAAACTATTAGAGAATTGTTTCAGATTGGATGTAAGGAAGAAGGGCGACCCGAATCTGGAATAGGCTTCCCAAGTAGGTGGTGCACTCCCCAGCCTTGGAAGTCTTCAAGGAGACTGGACTGACACCTTGCTGGGATCATTTGATCTCAGCTGTATTCCTGCCCAGAGCAGGAGGGTTGGACTTGATGATCTCTCGAGGTCCCTTCCAACCCTTGATTTCTTTCTGCGAGTCACTAGAACCCTGTACAGGGACTGATGAGAGATGCTGGGGCTTTCTGCCCGTGCAAGTGCTCACAGGCAAAGATACGGTCAGCTCCAGGGGGCTGTGGGGAGTCCTTTCTTTGTACTGCTGAAACCA